CTCTGTCTGGGAAGTGCATGCCCCCTAGAGTGAAAACCTCTCAAAAAAAAAAAAAAAAAAAAAGAGAGTATCTGAAGGGCCAGCAAATGACAGCAGGTGGTTAAGGCTCTGGACTCTCACATGGCTAACCATGTGTTTGAGTCCTGGACTTGGTGGCTTGCAGTTCTCACTTTCTCTCTGTTGCTCTCATCTCTCTCTGGTAAATGCCTGTGTCCTACAGCAAATTAAAAAATAATAATGATAAATAAAAGTAAATAAAAAATTCTAAAAATTAAAAGAGGACATCTGAAAAGATTTCATAATGCACACCATATATTTCAATGTAGACCATTAATCAAGTCATTTTTTTAAGAAAACAAAAAGTAAATATATATATATATGTATACATATGTGTATATATATATATACACATATGTATACATATATATGTGTGTGCTGTGTGTGTGTGTGTGTATAGGACTGTGCAGTTCGAATCCTGGACCAGCAGCTTGAAAAACATACTGGGTGTGTGTGCACACATGCCCAAAATCCCTAGAGGAGAAAGGAGGAGAAGGGATTGCAATATGGCCATCCTTTCCATGATTTCTCACTTCCCCCTTTCTCTGTCTCTGGCAAGTGCATGAGCAAAACACTAAAAAGCAAACCAAAAAAAGAGGTCACTCAGAAAGTTATAACAGGCTTAAAATCAGAAGCAAGAGAAAATGAAAGAAATAGTAGCTATAAATGTCAACCAAGAAATTTAATACTAGGAAGAAAATTGCAAATGTAGCACTATGCATTTAAAAATCAAGGTGGAACAGAGTGCATGTTTAAAGAAATCCTAGAAGTGAAGGGTTAAGGAAACAACAGTGGACCCATACTATCAAGAGATAAGAAGTTGAGAGATACACTTACTCGAAGTTCTTAAATCTAAGAACAAACAGAACAGGACACAAAAAGAAAAGGAAAAAAAAGAAGAAGCGTGGACTCATTCCTACTGTCACCAGCAGTAAGTGAAGGGAGCTTTTCTCTCCATCTCACCAGCCCTGAGCAGTGTGCGGGTGTACGTGTGTGCGCACGTGTACACATCACCAGGATAGCCACAAAAATGCTTACTGCTTTGAATTTCTCTGAAGTTTAACATCTTTCAATCTGTATGCTGTCTTTTTTTTACATTATCTGTTTGTGTTTTTGAATACTTTTGCACCGGCATTGTTCATTATTTTCTCATTGATACGTAAAACATCTAATCAAATATTATAAGTGTAATTTTACTTTAATTATATGAACTTCTGGAAAAATATAAACCAAAGTCCTACAGATGTATAGCTGGGCATGTGTGTGTGTGAGAGAGAGATAGAGACAGAGAGAGACAGAGAGAGACTGGCTGTGGCGGTATATGGCAGGCACAAGAACACAAGAAGGGTCAACATTTTCTGCCTCTTGCTAAATTGAATTTTTAAAAAAGGAGTCATAAATTTATTCTATAATTTTTTTGTAGTAGGTATCACATTTTGTGGAAAATTGCAAATAATCACGTTTATTGTTAGTACTTACATTTGGTTCTAAAGACAACAAAAAATTTCTTTCTTTTTTTTTTTTGGAGAGGTTTTTGCTATAGGGTTTGTGCACTTGCCAGAAAGACAGAAAGATACAGAGAGATAGAAAGAGAGAAACCCTCCCCCCCCCCACTCCCGGGAGGATGGCCAGGCCGCAATCCCTTCTCCATTCTCCTCTCTAGATCTTGAGCACACATGCACACACGCCCCGCATGAGTTTAAGCCACCAGGTCTGGGACTTGAACTGCAGCCGACTACATGGGAGTCCAGTGACATAGTATTACGCCGATTGCTGGTCTCATGACAAAAAAAAATCTAAGAATTTTTATACATACTTATAAAAATAACAAAGATATAATCCTTATCACTTCTGAAAAGTATACATTTTTAAAGCCTAAAAGCCAGTAAATGTAGAAGTCAAAGAGGGAGAGAAAAACAATGGCAACGGACTGTTCAAATTTTCCTCTTCCCAAATATCTAAAACATCACATATACCACTATTTTCTGTACAGCTTGTGAATCCCCAAAATTCTCAATTCTCTTCACTCTGAAATAGGTTTAGTAGAGACTGCACTGGGGGATTACAAATTTTTTTTTTCTTCTTATGTAGTAAGAAATTCAGTTCTTTTTTTTTTAAATCGAATTCAGTATTTGGTTTCAAATTTTCTTTTTTATTTCACCCTAATAATATTTTCAATTTTTGATGGATTTTACCAGAAGGTAAACTACCTAAGTCCTGACATCACATTCATTAGGTTCTGCAGGAGGGCTATGGGATGGGGGTCTTTGGGTGACCTTTAGATGCT